CGAATAAAGTATTCACATGTCCTTGATAGCGTCTGCTGCGTTGGGTCTGTCTCAGCTCTCTGTCTTCTTCTCTGCTGTTGTCTTCTTCTCTGATCAAATCAATGATGTCTTGTACTCTGATCAAAACAGTGTGTCCCCTAGCGGATATTCCATGAAGTGCACCTTATTAAAAATATTCATTCCGTGTCTTTTGTGCATTTTTTCACTATTAAATTATCCTGCGGGCCTGATCAAACCTCTTGCGGGCCGGTTCCGGCCGTATGTTGTACACCCCTGATGTATAGTAAGGAGTTTTTAGCCGAAAAAAAAACGACCATGTATAGTAAGGCGTTTTGAGCCGAAAAAAACGACCATGTATAGTAAGGCGTTTTGAGCCGAAAAAAACGACCATGTATAGTAAGGCGTTTTGAGCCGAAAAAAACGACCATGTATAGTAAGGCGTTTTGAGCCGAAAAAAACGACCATGTATAGTAAGGCGTTTTGAGCCGAAAAAAACGACCATGTATAGTAAGGCGTTTTGAGCCGAAAAAAACGACCATGTATAGTAAGGCGTTTTGAGCCGAAAAAAACGACCATGTATAGTAAGGCGTTTTGAGCCGAAAAAAACGACCATGTATAGTAAGGCGTTTTGAGCCGAAAAAAACGACCATGTATAGTAAGGCGTTTTGAGCCGAAAAAAACGACCATGTATAGTAAGGCGTTTTGAGCCGAAAAAAACGACCATGTATAGTAAGGCGTTTTGAGCCGAAAAAAACGACCATGTATAGTAAGGCGTTTTGAGCCGAAAAAAACGACCATGTATAGTAAGGCGTTTTGAGCCGAAAAAAACGACCATGTATAGTAAGGCGTTTTGAGCCGAAAAAAACGACCATGTATAGTAAGGCGTTTTGAGCCGAAAAAAACGACCATGTATAGTAAGGCGTTTTGAGCCGAAAAAAACGACCATGTATAGTAAGGCGTTTTGAGCCGAAAAAAACGACCATGTATAGTAAGGCGTTTTGAGCCGAAAAAAACGACCATGTATAGTAAGGCGTTTTGAGCCGAAAAAAACGACCATGTATAGTAAGGCGTTTTGAGCCGAAAAAAACGACCATGTATAGTAAGGCGTTTTGAGCCGAAAAAAACGACCATGTATAGTAAGGCGTTTTGAGCCGAAAAAAACGACCATGTATAGTAAGGCGTTTTGAGCCGAAAAAAACGACCATGTATAGTAAGGCGTTTTGAGCCGAAAAAAACGACCATGTATAGTAAGGCGTTTTGAGCCGAAAAAAACGACCATGTATAGTAAGGCGTTTTGAGCCGAAAAAAACGACCATGTATAGTAAGGCGTTTTGAGCCGAAAAAAACGACCATGTATAGTAAGGCGTTTTGAGCCGAAAAAAACGACCATGTATAGTAAGGCGTTTTGAGCCGAAAAAAACGACCATGTATAGTAAGGCGTTTTGAGCCGAAAAAAACGACCATGTATAGTAAGGCGTTTTGAGCCGAAAAAAACGACCATGTATAGTAAGGCGTTTTGAGCCGAAAAAAACGACCATGTATAGTAAGGCGTTTTGAGCCGAAAAAAACGACCATGTATAGTAAGGCGTTTTGAGCCGAAAAAAACGACCATGTATAGTAAGGCGTTTTGAGCCGAAAAAAACGACCATGTATAGTAAGGCGTTTTGAGCCGAAAAAAACGACCATGTATAGTAAGGCGTTTTGAGCCGAAAAAAACGACCATGTATAGTAAGGCGTTTTGAGCCGAAAAAAACGACCATGTATAGTAAGGCGTTTTGAGCCGAAAAAAACGACCATGTATAGTAAGGCGTTTTGAGCCGAAAAAAACGACCATGTATAGTAAGGCGTTTTAACCCGAAAAAACGACGTTGTATAGTAAGGCGTTTTGAGCCGAAAAAAAACGA